AATTTTTAAACGATTTTAAATGATGATTTATAGATTATTAACCAGAAACCCACGTAAAAATGAACACACAAAAGTGATTCATTTATCATTTACAAACAGTCGCTTATCATTAACAAACTTTTTAATAAATTATTGCTAAAATGTGTAGGACGTATTTTTCAACATTCCAGAGAGAAAAGTTACTTCACTTATTTTTAAAAAAACACTGTTCTCATGTCCATGCATTTCTGCATCTAAGGTATTTAACAAATTTATGATTACCTTATTTTAATTAGTGTTTATTATGTAATAAGTATCTTGTTATATCATAAAGAGTACTTTACAAGCCTCGGGCATGTAACTAAAATTGATGATGGGCATGTGGTATTTTCGATCTCAATTTATAATAACGTAATTAGTAGTTTCAAATTAACATTTATGATCTTGAAACGGCAGTAGCATGTCAGGTCCTCATAAAATTAATTACAAAATAACGCACTTAACGTGATTAAGATGTCTTCAATACTTGACCATGTGGTTAACAAGTACTTTACTACAATGATACGCTTCTAAATAAATAAAATAAACAAAAGCAAGAAAGATATCGTGTCAATGCTAATTATTTATCTCGACATGAAAAATGACGCAAAACGCATTGTTCGAACATCTTCGGCTAATTTTTTTTTGAGAAAAAACTTGTTCCGTGTTGGAAGCAAGAAATTCCATTATGACACATGTACAGTAATAATAATAAACCTGTCATATTATTATTACTGACAAACTCATGTTAATAATACCTGTCAATCATATATTTTCACGTTGTGGAGATTCCAAACATTACGATTCTGTGATCAAGATTCCCGGGACATACATACATGTCAATGAAATTAATTTCATAAACTAGTTCAATTATAATCTAATTATATGAAATTAATGGAATTTCCAATATCATCTACCACTTTCATCAAAATCATTGTCAAAAATAACACCAATTGTGTTATAAAATTTCTCTTCGACATCTGCACATATTTCTCGTGCTAATTATACGAAAATCTGCGTGTAGAGAGATAATTCGAATCTGTTAAGAAACAATTTTTGTTATTTTTCCAAAAACTAGACTTTCTCCAAGTTCTCCAGTTAACATTTTTTATAATATTTTTTTATTTACCTACTTAACATTCATTTACATTTCTCATTAATGCATAATTTGTCATCACGTTATAGCCTTAATGTGTTTCAAACTGAAAGCTGTAAATAATTACATTGCAATTACAATACCAAAAGTGAAATAAAATCTCAATTGTTTCGGTCTGTCTAGCAATTAATCCACAAGAGTACTGTTATACAAGTTTTTGTTCGGCAAAAATTCTCGAATTCTGATATGTTTGTGCTGGAAAGCAGTTCTTCCACAAACAACAACACTATACATATTTTCGTATTATTTGTCAAATTTATATATTTCAAAAATGTGATTACACATCAAACTATCAGATATTTTTAAAATTTAGTATTATGTATGTGTAACTCATTATTTTATTTGTTTTTTTTAATCACATTCTGATTATATTCAAACAATTTTTAAATAATGTTTCTACTCGAAATTCCATTCACCATAATTTAACGAAACATTTTGGTGCTAAATAAAAATTAAAATAATACTAACCGAATTGCATTCCTTATTTTTTAGTAAAAAGTTATAAATATTCCACAAAAAATGAATAGAAATCATATCAAATCACACAATATAATTAATACCTAAATAAAAAATATATATTCTCATAAACAACTTTTTTTTTTAATTTTGATGACTGGTTAATTAAGAAATATTTTGAATTAATTTTTCCATTAGATAAATGTGTGTTGTATGATAATTTGAATCTTTATTAAAACCAGATTCTTTAAAAAAACAGTAATGAAAAAATGTTATTAAATAATCATTTCCTAAGGGAATATTTTTTTCAGATGGTTGTTTGTAATAATTGCACCCAAAGAATTTATTCGTAATAAAATTTCACCTATAACTGTCATATTATTACTGTATATTTTAACAAGATAAGATCACAACTACACAAACACTAACAAAAAAAAAAGAAAAAGTGGGTTTCCTTATGGTTTAAAACCAACATCAAAATGGTTGGGTATAAATTGTGCTAATGTTAATTTTAGCAAAAATGTTAAAAGCACTATCTTTAACATTTATGAATCATTTATCACTGATTCCTTCACGAGAATTTCAATTGAAACAAGTAAATCACTTGCAATGCCCAAATCCGGGTGATAGGAAAATCCTGACAAGGAGCGTCCTTGTCAGGTCATATTAAACTAGATGACTTGGATGTCCCCACCCAAAAGCACCGGACTTGGAGGTACGGAAATCCAGCGCGTTACTGAAACAATGCATTTCAGTACAGCCACGCCGGGCAAAAGACGCGACACAAACCGCTATGTAAACTTCTTGTGATAATTTTAAAACTAAAAAAAACAGTGAATTTGTGTCCAGTGTGCAAGGAGTTAACTTTATTATTGGACACATCGAGCACCAGGAAAATAAAAATGTAAGATTCTATTTGAAAAAATAAATCGAAAAACAAACATCGGTTGGCCTAGAACGGTACTAATGAAAATATCCTTACAATGTCTGAAATCACGCCTGAAAATAATACAATCCCTACAATAATTCAGTCTAACCTATTGAGTAAATGCAAATGTTAATAATATACCGAGAGAATTATGGAATTTGAGTGTGATTAGACAGGAAGAAAAATCACCACTAAAGTGCATCCTTTAAATATCAAATATTTCAAAACGTCAACAGTACCGTTTGACTAATTTAGCTAACGAGACTCTTAAAGGTTAAAATATTAATATTAATTCATAAGAGTTCTATTTGGCCGAGCAATCAACTACAAATTTTCGCCGTGTTTTCTGACACCCAAAAAGGTGGAGTCGTTACATTCCAAAATTGGAAGGTCAAAGGACGAGGGTTCCAAACTGGTTTTAATACCGTGGCCGAATTAAAATTATCTCGAAAAAAAATTTAAATTCAAATATCGGGCCATAAACAATAAACTGTTACAAATTCTGACAATTTTTTTCCGAATAAGGTCACCAAAAATGTGTCCTTACTTAATCATATCACAAATACGCTAATAAGACAGAACAACAACTTTAACCTTTTCTTTTTAATTGTTGTCCTTTATTGTTACAACATTCCTGATAAATGTTCGATCGAAATCTTGAAATCTCGATGAAAGCAATTGCAGATGTGAAGTTCAATGTTGATGGTTTATTTAACCGTCATTACCCAGATGCTCATTTTCTCTCCTCACCAAAACCGTCCACTTTCTGTTAGTTCGCGAATTACAATTAAAAAAGAAAAAACGTACCACGTGAACCTTCACCTGTTGTTCCACAATCATTTATTAGACGATTAATTAAGGAACTAACGCACATTTTAATGAAACTGACCTACATTGTTAGAATTTAGAATCTGGGAAAATATCAAAGAATAAAAGAGGCGATCTGACAAAAATTCCCAAGGATTTGGAATTAATGACAGTTTAATGCATAAATTGCGAAAAATAGTCCTTGCACCTTGTGATATTATTTTGAATGAATTGTTAATTAAGATAACAAATATTTTTACAAGGATTGGCGCCTGATTTTACAACCTGTCAAAATAAGCGTAATTCGAACGCGAACTTTCCATTATTGTCCCCTACTTTACCATTGTATGGTAATTGTAGTGAGTTTCAACAGTAACGCTCCATAGCCTTTACTACAAACTAATAATTAACAAACACCTTCCAAAATGTAAATGCTAGGACGGCTTGCACCAATTCGGACATTTTAGCCTCATTGACAAAGAAATTACCTGATTGAAATGTGTCCTTAGCCTTTCGATCGACCCACACTTGCTAAAAATTATCAATTGTGTTTTTAACATAACCGAATTTGGATAAGATTGCAACAAAATACCACATTTTCGATATTACTTCATAATTACATGTTATCAGAGAACAATTTAGTTGCATTATTAATTTTTCAGTGGACACACCTTCAATCTAAATAAGATGTTTTGTCTTGACAAAATCTTTTTAGACGAATACGTATTTTAGAAGTTTTATGCAATAACGCGATTACGTCTCTATTGTTGTGAAGTCGGACGTATTGTTCGAACCGAGGACATACATGTAGCTACAATAACACTTGTCAACTCTTGTGAATTAGCAATCCCACTATTATTCAATAAAATAAATTCCGCAAACTTTTTGGACGAGTGATATTTAGGAAGATCAAATCCTCGTCCTTCAGTTTTTTTTGTAAAAAAAGTATGACATAATGTAAATCACAAGATTTACTACCAAATCTTCCTTGATGTGAAAAAAATTTCACAAATTTAAATTCCTGCTGTGATTACCCGTTACGGTTTACTGTGATTAATTAATAAAATCTATTATTATTTAGCTTCCTTGTCGTTGTTACATCATTAACAATTACCCTATTCGTAAGAAAAAATAATTGAATTTGTTTACTAGGGCATAAATTTTTTTAACTGAATTGAATTTAGATGTTGCAATCCAATTATAACTAAAAATCAATCACGTTACGAAGAAAAACAAGAGTAAACACTGAACACTTGGTTGCAACACGTTAAGAATTTCACTTTCCCGAATTTTAACAAATAATAAAACTGGAACAGTGTACATTGTTATTAAACGCGAGCACTGGCATACGTGTTTAGAAAAAAATGTCATGGAGCGTAACCGTTACAAAACAAATCTAAATATTGTTTAATTTGTAACAATTAACAGTTTTGCGTACACTTTCTTCGCAAAATACCTTGAGAAAAACGCCTTTCTCTCGCATTTTCCTAGTTTGATTTTCCGACCACGCCTTCCGGCGTCTCGATGACAAGGCCAGAGCATAAAACCACAATAGCTGTCACGAACGAAGGTTGAAAGAAAAGAATCGAGAAACCCGACGGTGGTTCCCGTTCACCGTTGGAACGAAATTGTAAGAGTAAAGATCTGGTTTTACTTTCAATGAAAGAGCGGTCAGTTGTGTTTGTTCTGCGGTTGGAAATTAAATTACTACGATTGCAAATGAAGATTCACTTCACGCTAAACACAACCACGTAACTATTACGTTACGAAAAAATCAACAATGGTGACTCTATTTCATGTTATTTTAATTAACTATTGTTTCCCTTTTTTATTACAGATGTCCTGGTGGCTTCTAACGTGCCTGCTAGCAGTATGGTTTCTAACTTCGACAGGAGAAGATAGAAAAATTCATAGATTAGTTGGAGGGCATTTGAGAATTTATCATGAAGATCCTTCCGATGCTGAACTACTCGAAGCACTAGCAAGCGGTTCAAAAAATAAGAAAAGTCAAAAAACCGACGATGAGGAGAAGAAAACTCTCAGCCAACAAGTCGCTGATGGAAAATACGGACTGATCCAAAAAGAACTCTTCGCAAAGCCCTCGAAACGTCCCGGAGTACTAAGTTACGACAGTAATCCTGAAGTACCCAAAGACAACATTAATAATTTGGGTGGACTCACGAAAAATGAAATTTGGTTGGCCGAAAACCACCTTTTAGTTCTCAAAGGTGGTACTTATCCTCCCCACGATGACAAAACGGATAATACAGCGACTTCCTGGCCCCCTATTGACGACTACAAAGCGCCCCGTCGCCAAGTCAAAATCCCTGCACATCCCAAAGTACCGCCGCCATTTCCCGTCCAACTCACCGACGACGGCCCCTTGCAAATCCTGGGCACAAATTCTTCGCGAACGCTTAATGGCACGTTCGACCAAACAGCCTTCGCCGTACCACCCCCAGAAGGCTTCGACCCGGGTCCGTACCTCCCGCCTAACCATCAATATTCGTCCAACTCTACTTCCGGGCAAGCTCCGTACCCAATACCTGCATTCCCTCCGGGGGAGTACCTTCCGGGGGCACCGTTCCTCCCGTACAACTTGAACGGTACATTACCTCCTTTTTTCGCTTCTTTACCCCCGGGGGCCGCCATACTACCACCACCGAACCAAACAGAACCGTTCGACGAAGACGACCCTTCAATTTATTATCCTCCGCCTTACAGTTTTTACTACCCAAAGGATAATTCATCAGCGGTAGCAGCGGGACCTTTAGTACCCGGAATAATCCTACCGCCCCCACCGGACTTTTTCGGTCCGTTGGAAGAAACAACAAAACCTACAAGGCATAGAATGAAAACAACAACGACTCCATTACCGCAAATTCACCCAACTACGACTGCAGTACCGCCAACTTCGGTTCTCAAAACGAGGAAACCGATCAAAATACTTCCGATTCATATTCCGGCTGAAATTAACAACGAATTGAAACCAATAGTGACGACAAGTGCGCCAAAAATTGTTACGATCCTTCCGAAAAATCGTACAACTCAAAAGACTCGTCCTCCAACTGTGACTATTTTAAAACCAGTGAAACCTTCAAGTGCACCACCTAAAATATACGTGTACAATAATGAATTTTCGGGAGTTTATAAACCACCGTCACGGTCTAAAACAGTAATTAGTACGACTCAAGTGCCGCTCAAAGTGTATTATAGTACTTCGAACGAAATCGAAACGAATTCAATAACACACGCACCGGAACGGTACCACATTGGTACTCGACGTGTCAAAACTACAACAAAATCACCAACACAGTATTATTATTACCAGGAACAACCAAAAGAAGTCACCACACGAAAACCTTTCTACGACATACCCAAAGAGTACTACATACCAGCGAAACAAGTTCAACAACAGAAATTTATTTATGTGCCAACAAGACCTCAAAGACCAAGATATCGGTTCGTCCAAACCCCGAAAACCGACACATTCAGTATACACATTGCAAGACTACAAAAACAAATCCACCAATACTACACAACCCCCAGACCGACTTACAATAGACCTTCACCAAAACCAGTTTATCAATTCAGCTTCGAAGCGTCAAACTACCGGCCCCAAAGACCTCAAATCGAAAACCCCCAAGACAAATTCCGTCCTTTACCGAAATACAGCGTTCAAATCCAACCCGCAATTGAGATAATTCCCACAGAAGCACCAACAGAACGACCAAAATATTACAGTACTGCCAAACCCGACTACGAATACAAGGAAAATCCCAAACCTCCGCCAACTCCACGCCCCATTAGCCAATTCGCTTTCGTGACCCCAAATCCGGTCTATCAAGGCTTCTACACGAAACCTGACGAAGGCTTCTTTGACGAAAACACGAAGCAGTATTTTACAACTTTTGGACAAAAACTGACCCCAGGTACGACCCCACTTCCTCCAAGACGGCCCCCAAAACCAAATCTTGAAGGAGACACCGCTGTTAATTTCCTTCCTCCACGGCCTACAATCAACCCAGACGCCGAATTTGTGCCAATAAACCCCAACCAACAACGAATCAACTACCCCCAAGTGGTGAAATACCCCAGACCGATCCAATACGCTCAAGAAACGCGTCAGAAAAAACATGAAATTGTTAAAAATCAAGGTCAAGAAGGTTCTTTTATTTCCTATCAATTGCCAGGGGACGATGGCGCTCATTTTTACTTTTTGACCCCACAATTGGCCCAAAGTCGAGCACAAGGTGCAGGGTATTACTACTCGCAACCGAGAATACGAAGAAATAAAGAAAGGTGAAGTGTTTTAGTGACTTGACAATGACAAAGCTGTGAGTTTATTGGCGATTCCTATCTTTAATTTAGTGCCTATTTTTAATTGGTCTGTGATCGTGTTGCGCCAATGTAGCCGAACGAACTCAAAAAAATCATAGTTAAGTAAAGTGACGGAGATCCACGAACAAATTGTTATTCTCACTTGTAAATCAGTGGTCGAAATTAAGAACGAGGAATTTTGTACGAACTAATTTATATGAATAGTGTAAAGTGATAAATTATTGTACCAGATGATTCAAGTTTTATTCTCATTCCTGTTCTAGCATCAAAAATTTTTTTAAAAAATCGAAATGTACTCGTAACATTGAGTCTTATATAAATTTGAATCATCCTGTATAGATCGTACTATGATTAGGCAACCATTTTGTTAAATTATTTTTTAATAATAAAAAACCTTATCTAATTGTTCCACTCTTCACTTACCGGTGTTAAGCTCCTGTTCGGCATTTTCGTCCTTGAGAGGCTCATCGAACAGATGCAGGTACACTTCAATGGCACATTTGGCAGCCTTAAAATAAAACGGATGTCCCCTGAGCACATCTTCAAGTCGCAAAAGCCCCACATACGACCGCAACGTCATTTTCCTCATACAATAAGTGTGGAAATCAAATTGATCCTCGATAATTTCCGAAAAGTGCTGTAACAAATTTCCGTCAAAGTTAGATCGACATCAAGTGCTAACCCCCTACCCTATCCGTCTCGTGACACTTCTTCAAAGCCTCCCCGTACTTGCCCAATCTCTGATAAGCCAAAGCACATTCGGTTTCAAACCACATGCATTGCATTTCGTTGAGATTTTCCATCGCCGAAACGCCCTCTCGCGTGAACTTGGCACAGGTGTCTTCGGCTTCCTTTACCCGATTTGCCCTGAGCATATATTTGGCGCATTTGGAATTGATGTAACGGTCGGCGGTGTCAAGAGCTTGAGCTTCATCGAGCCATTTGTACGCCTCTTGTGGGTCGCCGGCGTGCTAATCGGAAATTACAAAATTACAGAAATGTGTTCTCGCGTAAATCGTGTTTATGTAACGATTTTAAAACAATAATGAATGATCATCGCAGGCATTTATGCAATTGTGAAGTGTTTCACAGAATTATTAAACCAGAGAGACGTATTAGAGACGGTATTATTAGACAGGTTTAGTAATAAATCACCACTTCAATTATTACTATTGTGTGAGATGAGTGACAGCTAGTTAGCCAATGTAACAAATTGTTTTAATTATAAGATAAGTAAAGTGTCTTCAATGTTAGGCAACCAAGAAAACAGTTACCTTGTAGATCCTGCCTTTGGTAACGAAGAGTTCGATCAAAGTTGGAGTGTGTTCAATGGCGGCGTCTATGTAGCTCACAGCCTTTTCGGTCTGGTTCAGATAATCATGATGTTGTGCCAGATAATAGTAAACCCACAACAGTGCGGAAGCCGGCTCTTTGGGTCCGTTGTTGACTTCGGCCTCACTATATTTGCCCACTTTCTTTAGCGCATCCACGTATTGTAACATTAAATTTTCAATAATTTCCACTTTACTCTTATCTGTGTATAACGAACGCAAATCGACGAAAAGTGGAGGTACGCCTTTCGATAGCGCCCTCCTCATGTATTTATCGACGAGAGTTTTAAATTGTTCACCAATCGCGTAATTTAATGGCAGTCTTCGTGACGGCATCGCACGCGGATATTTTTCGGAACACTCAAGATAAAATTTAACAACGTCTTCGGGTTTGGTCAATTTTTTCGCTTCGATTAGTTTATTATAGTACAAGGTATTTTCCGGATTTCTTTGGATTAATTCTTCGTAATATTTTGCAGCTTTATCGAAAATTTTCAATTTTAGATTTAGTTCACCTAGGTTTTCTTTAAGCGTCAGCTTGTCAACGATCTGATCTTGGGAGGATTCCAAATGTTTCAAGGCCTCTTTTAAATCGCCCGACTCTTGGATCACCAGGTTTTGATAAAGTAACAATTCGCTGTGCTCGTAGTCGTAATTATTCCCCTTCTGCAACGAATTTCATACTTTTTAGACAAACTTACTTAAGTTCACCACACGATTACTACCTGCTGTTGGTCCAAAAATGTTTCCAAAATGTTCAAAGCGTTCTTGTAATCTTCTAACAAATGAAAGGACATAGCATACCCGATCCAGGAAGCCCTCTGCGTTGGCCTGAGCATAAGCAGTTGGTAGCGTGTATCCTAACATACAAATAACAAATGTTGTTAAACTTAGACAGTGAATATGTAAAATTATTTTAATAAAATTACTGGGGTTTTGTTACTACAGTGCGATCAAAAAGTTTTTCTATCAAGTAGGCGTCCTAGTTGAGGACGTATGTTGCATGACAATTCGTATGTTATCTAGATATCAAAAAATAATTTTATAAAAATTGAAACATTAAGCTAATTAAATTAAATTATTCTATGAAACGTTTCAAAATATCCTAAAATGAGATGTAGTGTTTATTCATAAAAATCGTTAACCACGGTTTCCTGTTATAATTTACATAAAAATTATTTTGACATTTCTCATTTGTCATTGTGACATTTTATCTTCCACAGACATACGTTCTAAATTTCTACGCTTGCTTGATAGACAGACTTTTTGATCGCACTGTATAATTACTATTATAATTTTTATCATATTAGCACTGTTCCTATGTACATCAACGTAATAAATTAAACACACACAAATCGTTCTTTTTGTATATTTAAACTGCAATTCATTGTTGCTTATTTCTTCGAAGAAAATTTCATTATTCTAATTTCTAAACAAAATCCAACACCGATTATTCCTTTATCGATTTATTTACCTTACATTACTGAATGAATAAAATGAGAGCAGTAAAGGCAAATTACACATTGCGTTAAATTTTTCTGAATATGTTGTAGCCAAAAAAAAAAAATATATACTTAGGACACAATGCTCAAATTACATAAATCTTAAATTTCTCTAAAACCAATATTCCAGTTACCTTTGGCAATATAACAAAAAGAAGAAAGATGGGAACAAAAAGTTACCTCAAATTTCCTAGGTCAAAATAAAGCAATTTAACCCAACTTACCTTTATACCACGTTGCACCGTTTAAAAGTTAGAAAACACTTATGAAATTATGTTTTTTTGTTTAAATTAATAATTAATTACATTGTTATTAACTAACACAAACATACATAAAGACATTAAAACCTAAACAGTTAAATTTAAATGGCCAACGTCCAAAATTTTAACACATCTACTTAAATTATTTTTTTTACTGACACAAAAATTGTTCAAAAAGAACTTTTGAATAAAAAAAGAATAACGTCACTCGGATTACGTGTAACAAAAATATGACTTAAATGTGTCAAGTACTTTACAATAATAATAAAAGAAATAGCAGCAAAACATGTGGTTTTGATATTAAATTAATAATACATTAAAAAGTTATTAAAGAAAAACAAAAATAATTTTTAAAGTTTGGCGTCCTCTAACTTGGTGTAGGTAATCTCAGGCTACTGTTTGTTCCCATCTTTTCGTTACACCCTGTATAATTCAACTCATCTATGTCAGTATACTCGTTTTCATATTAATGTGCATCAAAGTAGTCGTTGAAAAAGATCATTTTAAGATGGCAACCATGCGAAAATTCAAACAATCCTAACCTCAACTTCCCTAAAAACTATTTTTTTTTTTAATAAATGTGTACCCCAGATAGCAAAAAATAATTAAAATTAACAACGTAATTAACATAGGGTAGCAAACATAAAAAATTTTGTCATTATTGATGTGATTAAATTTGTTCTAAATGACATTAATGACTTTTTGTGTGAACAGGCCTTTAAATTAAAGATACATTTAGACTACTACAACCTTCTTGATGCACATTAATATTATAAAGAGTATAAATGTATGCATTAGAATTTGTTGATCTCTTTTGCTTGTCATGATTATAATTAAATGAAACTGTTTAAAAAAAATCTCAAAAAAACTGGATTCATCGTAGAAATCTTTAATTATTCATATAAATATTCAATTTATTTTGTAACAACAAGAACGTGCGACATTTTTGTGAATAAATAGGAAAGAGAAACCGTCAACTGTACTAATGATAAGAATTTTTTGGGGCTTATCTACCTACTTTAAATATGCACTACCAAACAAACTGTGCAAAGTAAACATGCCTATTGGATAACTTAATTAATCGTATTTTTTAAAATACTATATATTTTCGAGACAAAAAACGACTTCTCAATTAATTCTATTTTGCTTGAATGTGAACTAATTTTGTCAAAAATCAATATATTCAAATGAGTTTTTTTACTTCCCAAAACATTGTGTTATTTGAATAACTCGTTAACTCATATGTTATAAAACTCACGTTATAAAATGACCCTTATTTTATTAACCGATTTTTGTACAGTTAAATCCGTCATCGCGCTTAATAATTACCTCTTCAAAATGATAAAATTTAATTATGTATGTGAAAATCTGTACATTTGCTTCTAATAATATGTATACACATAAAATAACAGTAAACAATCCCATGTTTTTTTTTTATTTGTAGTGAATGTAGTCTATAATCAGTAACCACAGTCCAATCTAATTTCCATGATGAATAAAATCAGAATGCAGTAAGCTTCAAGGTCGGAAAACAAACCGCCATTGTTAATGAAAATATACTCACTCTGTACCCCTCCAAATCGCGCATTTGTATTTGTAGCAGAGACAAGTCCCTAAGAATCTGCATATTATCCTTTTCCCACTTGAGTGCATTGCGATAACACTTGATGGCTTCGTCATATTTTTTATCCGCTCTTTGTAAAAGTCCATAAACATGCCAACAAACGTGTGAACGCAAATCGTTCCTTAACCCCCTTCTCACATACTCGTAAGCCTCCTCTTTGCGTCCTAGACAGTTCAGCGTCAAACCTTTCATCGCCAAGGTCTCTACAATACAACAGATTTTAAAGATACACTATGAGGGCCCCACAACTAACCTCCATGTTCTGTAAATTTGGGATTTGACAGGATCTGCTTTGCAAATTTCAACCCATTTTTGTATTGCTTCTGTTCGTAACATCTCTGCAATGAGGAAAATTAGACGATTCTACACACAAAGTATAAATAGAAGGAAAAATTATGCCAAAATGAGGGCCTCGGCCAAGCGTTGGATGCAACTTTTAAGGTTAGATCACCTCGACTCTTGCAATTACGGCCATTTAGTGTTATTTACACCGCACAACAACCAAAATGAGTCAGTGAATTTCGTTATGCATTATTTTTGTTGATATCAGCCGGCTATCTTAGGCTATTAAATACTAACCAAAATTCTTTTAAATAAGGCATTTTCTTTCGGGGGTAGCGGATTGCTTGAGGGCATTGTTCCTTGCACTAAAACGTCAACTTTTAAGCCCGGTTAAACGAAATTTGTTAGAAATCAAAACCTCGTGGCCAGATACCTCCTCAAATGTCGATCGTCGTCACGTGACTAATGTCGCTTGTCGCCCCCCAAACAGTGTCGATAATGCAGAAAACCACACCAAAAAATTTCAAAAATACAAATTTTATTGATAAATCAGATACATTTGTAATAAAAATATCGTTTCGTCGATTTCCAACTCCACAGTGTTTAATTTTTTCATAGTTAGATCGACTTTTTGTAAAATTTCACGCTCAGGTGGCGTAATCATTTCTTCAATCTGAAAATTAATACTCAGAAAAAGTTACACAAAATTAGAAACTTACGTCAGATAATTGCTCGTCTGCCGCTCCCTGCGCCTTCATCCCCATAATAATGGTATCAACTCTTTGTTTCTTATCAATAATTCTCTTATGAACTAATCTTTCATGATTTTTCCTAGTCATAATATTAAATAAAGTTTTGTAACACATTTCTAAAGTCATTCGCAGTATTTGATCTAAGTTTGTATAGAACAAAGTGAAACTTTTATTGGGGCCACTACTGGTCGATTTTTTTAAATCCTGTACTTGTAAAAAATTCTCTTCCAATAGTTGATAAGTGAGACGTTTTGCTTCTTTTGCTGGTATCATTGCCAATTGTTGTATTTGATCGGGTTCTATGTACTGCTTTGACTTAACAAGTCGAAAAATACGTGCAGCTTTAGTATCAAATTTTTCTAAAACAATTTGTTCGACTGTTTCCCACGCAAATTGAGTAAAAGTTTCTTTTAGAAAAATTTGAAATGAGCCACCACCAGCATCTCCCGCTTGTCTAATTAATTTGGAGCTGTCTTGCTCTACAAAAAAATATAATAATAAAATAAAATACAAGTTGTAATTTATTCTTAATACCTAAAACATTGACATATTGGTCAAAAAACGCTAAAAGGTGCTGATGAGTCGCTTGTTTTCTTACAAGATCCCGGATTTCCACAATTGGGACTGGATTTGACACCTCAGCCCAAGGTTGTGTTCTCATATACATCTGTTGTAGCAAAAGTCTGACAAATTCACCGGCGTTTTCGTCAAACTTCTTAATAAAAGCGTTAACAATTAATTTGTCTCTCATGTCTTGATGGAATCTGTCAAAATTAACAGTCCAATAAACACCTTGGTCAGGTAAAGAATCCACAGTTGCCTTATTATTTTGCACCAAAGCAATTTGTTTAAAATCTATTGTAGGTGGTGAAAATTGTTCATCTTCTCTAATTTGTAAAATGGGTACAGGTTTATCTTCCTGACTATATGGCAGCCTAGTCAAATACTGAGCAGTCAACAGTAAAAGAAACTTTTCTCTTAAAGCTAAAATTGTCACATTTTTGTTATGATCTTTTTTCAATCTTTCTATCACTTTCAAAATTAATTCCGACGCCGTCCAGTAACTCCTATGTAAAAGCTCTTCCATTATTAATTCACATTCAGTTCCAAATTTCTTTTTTATTAAACTAATATACTTTGCGTAGCGTAACATTAATAAAACACGCTCATGTTGCAGTGTATAGTTTGCAACGTTTTCATTGCGATTAGGGGTGAAATTGACTAATCTGTATTTTATTAAAATACATAAAGCTTCTTTAACCTACAATTCATAAACTAAAATACTAAAATCGCACATTTCCATTTAAAATACCTTAGATAAGGGCAAATCTGTGTGTCTTTTGATGTATAAAAGTGGTACAGTTCCGAATTGAAATAAGTAGCTACCGACCTTCTCGACCACAGGGCCAAAACGTTCCAGTAAAATAAGAGAAATAACCCTTCCATACTGAATCGACATCGGGATAAAGGATAAATTATAAAAATAATGCAGTGTGATTAATTCTAAAAATGAGGTTAGGCTGGTTGTCCAATTACAGTTTTCTTTGATACCAGCATCCTAATAATTGATGTGTAAATTTGGTTGCATAAACATGAATTGCTTAATTTATTTCATTTAATAATTTATTATAAATTATCCATTAACTAGCCAACATTTTTTTTAATATGTGCAAACACTTGCCTTAATACATTTTTTAAATTGGCAATCGATTTGATTTATTGTTAAAAAACCTGTCACAAGTCCATTAACTGATGCAAATTATTAGCAATAAATAATCCTAATTATATACACTTTGCGTCGGGCCTTTTAAATTCAATTTTAAAATCTTTATATATTAATTTTGTATTGCAGTCTCTTGAAAAATTCATTAAGCATAGGCGCTAAGAAGGTGTAACCTCCATATGCAATTTTTAAATTGTTTACAAATAAGTTTATTAAAAATTTATAAGCAGAAGGTGATGATGAGGTGCGATTTATAGAAACAGATGCGTCGTCGTTCTGTGGGTTTAGAAATCCATATTTATGAGTTGTTCATAATTCAATTAATTACAAATTATTCAAATAATTTATGACATTTTTACTTACGATTGTGCAATGCCGTTGATGATTTATTTATAAATATTGTATTTTCAGCGTCGCAAAAGTGCACCCACAGATTCTACTTTACTTATAATTTAATTTTTTGAATCACCTACAAAAAAACAAATTATTGTTGTCTACACGTGAACTTGTAGGTGGCTTAAATCACGATGACTACAAACACTAATCCTCTTATTTGAAAAATAAAGTAAATAAAATTAGAATATACAAAATTAAGACATGTTAAGGTCACGCCATGTGAATAATTAGACAAAATATTAGGTCTGCCACACCTTCAAATCACAAAAAAGTAAGTAATAAACAAATAACATTATTTAATTAATTAGTTAGAAAATTAATGTAAAAGTAGTAAGTAGTAAGTCAAAAGTACACACCTGAGAAAACAAAGCAGTGGCGTAACAAAGTAAGATTGCTAAATGAAATTGGGGTCCTTAACACTATTTCCACTTTTATTTTTTCTTTTGCATTTTACAGCCGCTTACAACAAAATTCAGACTTACCTACTACTTATAGTAAAACATAATGTTCGGTGTTCAAAAGCTTCAGAAGTTTTGTTGTAAAATGTGGCAAATAAATATTATCGCAACAAGAAATTACTACCTAGGATTTAGGGATATTCGCAAATGGGTTGCCATTAATTTGGTTAAGTTGGATTGTGGTGACAAATAAAAGATATCGTAACCAGTGTCAAAAATTTAAGTTAAGTCACCTGTCAGCTTGTATAGATAACTAAATTAATAGTTGACACCAGGTTGACAGAAAACGTCAACTCTCAAGAATAAGGGGTAACCAACCCTAAGCATTCAAAATTACATCTGAAAATTCTAGTTACAAGCAACATGAAAAACGTAATTTTCCTAAAAATGCAAATCCTAGGTGGTAATTTCATGTTGACACTTTAAAAATTATAAGAAAACAACACAAACGTACGCAAGTGAGTAAAAAATCTCGCATACACGCCCAGATGTGTACTTTTGGCTTTTACCCCACTCTAACATTTAAAGTTTTTAATTCAGTCATATACAGCAGGTCCATAAATTATTGCTTAAGTAGATGTGACAGGAAGGGGATCTAGACGGCTTGGTAACAAAAACTGCACGCATGACAAATGATACCGGTCGATTTAAACCGAATTCCTTCATGCCATGAATAAACCGGCAGTGATTCCTAAAAACTTATAATAAAAAAGATTTAATATATTTAAGCTTATACAAAAAAAAATAATATAAATGGAAGTTTTTTTTTTGATTTAGCCGACTTAAATCTGAGTATTCTCTTATATAAAATCTTATAAAATAAATGTTAGAAGTAAGTAAAAATTTCACTCATATTTAAAATCTCTGATTAAATTAATTTAAAAGTGAAAAGCCTATTACTGGGTTGCAATGAAATCATTTTATGTTAAAAAAATTCTACAAATTAATTCGTCTCAATGGCATATTCTGACATGATCTGTCTCCGCCGCCCCCAAATTTAATTTAAATGTTTATTGAAGCATAAGTCGCCTAAAGAAAATAACATCGATCGCCTCGGAAGCTGCAGCAGCCTATAGTAAAGCTTACTCACTCCCACTCTCTTTTTGTGCTTTATCCTCCCGTGTATTCGATAGCGAAAGCGTGCTGTAGAAACAACTGAACATCGCTCACACAGCGTGTCTAGTCGCCGGTGGATAGTGATGTTCTAAATTTTCTCGTCTCGCCGTCTAGATCCTGTCATAGAAATTTTAAAATTTTGACGTTTTAAGTGACAGTGACAGTATCTAATGAATTAAAGTCACAGTGAATTTTTATTTTATGAGCAGCAAATGATGCGGTAAACTTGTAACAAACGTTGAATTTGTCGAAAGTGTCGTCTACCTGTACGAGGGGTAAGTAGGATTTTATTTAGTTTAATTACCTTCCTAGAAGTACCTGAAAAGCGGTGTGGTGTGAGTCAACAACAAAGGTAGATGTAGGATATTTCACTTTTTTTAATTTTAAATTTTATAGTCTTTCATCTTCAAAAAAACCATAAAGATATAAAGGTGTCTTCGGTATGAATTATTGCTTGATAAATGATAAAAACACTTTAATGACTTGAAAATTAAGTAACATTTAAAATAAATTACTTTAATCTGTCATTAACAAAAACTATTTTAATTGTTGGAAATTTTAACTGCATTTTTCAATAAAAGTTAATTATTAAGTATGTTGCTTTAATTCATACCGGTTACATATAGGGGAAATACTAATTAACCTCCACAACCCCTTGACATCACGCCCTCGTCTCTATTATCTAGACACGAAATTATTAAAACTAGAATGAAACATATTGAGAAGAAAATAAAACCAGTAACAAGTTTTTAAATATTACCCTTGCTTATTTACCAAATTTAAAAACTACAGATGTGCAAATGAAGATAACACGTTTTTTCTTTAAAAAATCTTATCTATGGCATTAACTGATATCAATGTTAGCAGAAGGCCAAAAATTGTGACGAAATAATTAAATATCAGCTTCTGTAATAAATTGTTTCCTAAAAGGTACTTAATCCGCAAAGCTATACTTAGACTACATTTACTTTTAAACGAATATATATTTGCATACTGTAATTATAATAATTTAAATAATAATGATTAATCTGTCTATTAACTAGAGATTAAATTGTCTGGACTTGTAGATTTGTTGTTTATTTATCTCCTGACACCTTTGAAATTAATGTATTGTTACATAATTAATTCGTTTAACAAGGAAAAATAGTGTCAGTCATTTTTCTTTATACTCGTACAATTTTCTGTTACTTTAATTAAACCAACAAATTGTGCAATGGTAATCTAATTTCGAAGAGATGTGCAAAATTTTATACTTGCAATAACTGATAAAATATTTGGATGCAATTTCAGATAAACGCCAAATATTTATTTTAATTCAGACTTCAATTTCACAATAAATACGAGTACATACAGGGTGAATATAAAGTATGGAACCAAGCGGTTTTATTTTTGATCATTTGCCTCCAGAAAATAATAATTAATATAAATTAGAGTAATATCAAAAATGTGATCGTATTTTCAGAACGAAATTTTGTTTTGTTTTTGAGTTACGCGATTTTTTTTTGGCAAAATTGCAATTTATGTGAAAATTTTTTTTTGAAAAAATTAAAATAAAGCAGATAGTTGTAATCCTTAGAGTATAGCTTTTATGAGAAAACTGATTTTATAGTGGGTTGCCATTTAAAAAAAATATTTTTTTTGTAGAACTCAAAAACAAAAGAAAATTTCGAAAAATTTTATTCTTGTTAAATCATCACATTTTTATAGTACTTTATCACTCATCAATTAGTTTTTTCAAAAAATAAATAGTTTAAGCAAAAAACGTTTGGTTCCATACTTTTTATTCACCTGGTATATGATAAATTGATAAACTACTGTTTCCGTTTTTTAAAAAAGATAACATACTGGGAATTTTTTTTCTGCTTCTTAATTTATGCGTTCTTTATGTTTTTTTGGAATGCTGATTCGAAATGTAAAACTGGTCTTTTTCAACTGCGATTTTCACAAAAATCCTCCAATAAAAGTTAAAATGGATTTTAAATTCGCGTTTAAGCCAAATTTATTGAAAATGAGACGAAAGCGTTGTCGACTTCTAAAACGAGCAGTGTCCAAAAATGTACTATTCAAAGATTTGAAAACGATAAACAAATACATCAGCAAAGATTTAGATTATTGAACTAATCTGAAGACTAAATGAATGCATCTACGTATGGAACTCATGTTTTAACAAGTGTTTAAATGGTCGTCGTGGTAAAATACAGAGAATTAAAACACCTATCACTTGTGAATTAGTTCCAATGAAAACTTGAATTTTGTAATCCTTATCAATTGTTAATTTAGCATTCGAGTTAACAGTATTGTAGGTGTACGTTTCGTCATTTCATTGTAGTTCAATCAACTAACGAAATAGCTTCAGTGGAAATTTTGCAGTGTATAATTTTGGCCGATTTCAAACAAAATTGGCCATAAACGAATTTATTGTAAATATATGGATGCATTTTATGTTTGTTTACTTTATTAATCTTTAAAAGGTTGCGTCTGAGGCAAGATAAAAACTAACAGTCTCAAAAATAAATAGTTTACTTGTTTTTTAATCTTATCAAACAACTCATTTAATAAATATTTGATTATCATTTTACTTGTGGTACTTTTATAATTCCTAGCGTTGCTTGTTGATGTAAAATTTTTGTTTGTTTACTTAAATCTGTTCACTACACTATTCGAAACAGTCTAACATCTGTCACACAATTACTACTTCACGCCGTAAAACCACAATCAAAACGAAGAAATGACGCTATTGTGTGTTACACAGCTACTTTATAAAAACACAAAGGCACAAGAACTGCTATCTGATAATTGACACGATTGCAAAAATTATAAAACCGACTTAAG